AATATTGGTAGATTTTTGTTATATTATCTCAACTATACACTTTCAGAAAAACATAGATAAACTAAACTGTTTTCCGGATAAAACAGTTTCTACCTGACTGTCTATTGAACATTAAAAATACATATTTTAAATCTCATATATCTATACATATGTATACGTAATATAACCCAAGGAAGGTCGTTTCCCCCAATACAGTCATATACATCGTGATATGTATTTATTATTTCACGGAAACGACTGGCTTGTAGTTATCGATCATCTCTCGACAAAGCATGATCGCAGATAGTCTTAGGCAATTCGTTTTTGAACTTAGAGCGATAATGCGTATAAAGTAATGTTCAAGATTTATATTGTAAGTGATAAATATAGTATTTCAACCATGGTAAGTTATAAAAATATTGTATTATTTGTTACGTAGGTTTTTATGTCGTCAAATATACCTTCTGTTTTTTATTATATGCTAAAACACACACAATATGGAAACAATTTTTTTTTCTTTATAAATAAAAAATTAATATCTACTCTGTTTTATCATTGTACGAATCTTCCTATTCGTCCATATATATACTCTAAACATTAATATTACATGAATATTACTACGATTAAAAGGTTTAGGTGTACATTGACGTAATTTGCAATGTGTAACATACTATAGAAATAACACGCGCTCACAAAATAGAGACAAATTTCCCGAGTATAAATTTGTTCCTTAAAATATTTTTATTATCTTGTTCTCAAAAACGTTGACCACGTTTCTACTTTCTAATCTTCAATTGTTCTTTTATATGTCAAATTGGTAACACCAACGTAATAATGACAAATAATATGTAAAAGTATGGGTACGCGTACTTGAGAAATATAAAAACATCGCAAAATACTGATAACCATATCCTAGGTCGTACACATGTATCCTTGACATTTATATCTGAAAAAGCAAACACTTAATCCGTACATATTAAAGTTGTGTGTTGCGTTTGCATTTGCGTATGTAATTCTTGTTTAATAACCAAAATAACATTTTATAGATTCACAGTACGCAAATGTTTACATTCTTTGGAATTTTATGCTTACTATTTCTAACCGGAATTGTTTCTTCAACTGATGAGAATTTATCTCAAGTACCGCAGTGTTACCACCCAATAGAATATCGTATAAATGTTTCTGCAAACGTACAAAACAATTCTCTCACTGTTGATTCTCGTGTCAAACTGAACGTTTCATGTGTACTGCAAGATATACGATTATATTTCGGACGTTCTTGTAACAAATTATATGATGGTAACGTCGATATCAATGTCTATAATTCGTATTGGGAATACATGCTATACTCTGAGGAAAACCAATTGGTCATTGATATTAGCCTTAAAAAAGAGTATCAAATTAACTCTAAAAAAGAGGTGCATAAAGTAGATATAATACCTGGAATATACTGGATAAATATGAGATATGAGTGCATTTTAGATATAGGTGCAACGATCTTTTCATATGTACATCAAAACAAAAAAGAAACGTAAGTAAACAATACTGCAGTATTTTTTTTTTCGTTTTGTAGAAAAAATACTATGTATAAACTTTAGTAGTTAAATAACAATGTATTTATATAATATACGTTTCATTATATAGATATTTGATTTTGCCGCGTATTCCCGCTGACTGGATATTTCCGTATTGGAATAATTTCGCAATTAAAGCTAACTTCACAATTCAAGTTAAACATGATCGTGGTGAAAAAGTTCTATCAAATATGCCTGGTGAAGAAATAATGCAAAACGATCAACTTTATACTTTATTTCATCCGACTCTTAAAATATCCACTCATTTGATAGCAACAGCAGTGATACCTTCTCAGTGTACCGAATATAACTCGTCCTATACACGTTTTACTATTCAAAGCAGATTGCAAGTGAGAAACGACATTTCATACGCAGAATTTCTTATAAAAGAGTTTACGACATTGATCGGACACAAGATAAAGAACAACAAATCAGTATCACACGTGCATTATGTAGCACTGCCAATAAATTCCTACAATTACGAAACTATAGTAACTACTGGATTTGTTCTCTTTAGGTAAGATACATAACTCAAAACACAAAATTGGCTTAAAAAAATCTTACATATTATGGAAACGACAAAATTGTTGTAAGGACAATATTATTTTTAGAGACGCTAATATCGCGTACAATATAGAGGTAGATTCGATTATTAAAATAAAAGAAGTAGCACTTTTGGTTGTGCGCGGTGTGATGCAAGAAATGTTCAGTGAATGGTTACTTACATTAAAAAACTCTGATTCTTGGTTTATAGAAGGGTTTTTGTCATTTTACGGAGTTTATTTAATCGATCAGGTAAGTCTTGCATTTGAAATTTCTTTCATACATATACTTTGATAGTAAAATATATATAGAATAATAAGACATTCTAGCATTGTAAAAATAAGAAGTTTTATGTAACTTATAATAGTTGCTAATAATAAATACTTTTATGAATATATATATTAATATACAAAATACTGTAAAATAAGTTAAGTTTACTTAACCTATTTATAAGAATACGTTTTACATTTCTACTTAGAAAGATAATTAGTATACATTATACAAAAGTTACTATTACATATACACAAATGTATGTGAGTAAAATACTATATATATGCAAAATAATATACATAAACCTAATGTATTACATAGTGAATTAAAATAAAGAATTGTGTTATCTGTTTTTAAGAGAGTTGTAATGTCACATTTCGGTTTTAGTTATTGTTTCTGTTATACAAAATTTTTATAATGTTAATGATGATAAGTTGTTATTATAACTTTTTGTTGACAAACATTAAAGATTAAAGTACTTTTCATAAACATAAATGGCGGTGCTACTTGACATGTGTAATCATACAAATTGTTGGTAGATTGCTACTGAAACTTTACTGAAGTCGATTGTAATCCAGACACGACGAGAAGTTTTTGAATATACGCAAGCGTGTATTGAATATGATATACAAATAGAAGATAATTTATTTCTTTACAATATAACGTTTAGTAAAATGTGGAAAGAAAAAGGTAAAGTTAAAAAATCAGTATTTAAAACTTATACGTATGCTATTGCTCCTATACTTGCAAATAAAAATAATCTCACTTTAATAATACTTCTTAAAAATATACAAACAATGAGAATAAGTAATATATTATTCGCGAATATGTCACCGAATTATTAAGTATAGTCAACCAGTTATTATTGTATGCATTTGACAACATTATTACCCATATTCTTTTTCTTATAACTTAATTAGATATTTATAATTTTTACATTATTGGAAATATGTTATAGTTTTTAATATATTTTCTATGATGAATACTTTGTTCCATAACAAAACTGTTTTATACAACTCTATTTTTGAGGAAGCAATGAAATTATATTCTACCAAGTGAGTAATTGATATTACAGTACTTGAAACATGTTTAATACAGCGTAAAATGCACAATAAGTAAAGTGTAAAAAATATCACATATCCTTCTATAAACAGTAAAATTAACACTACTATTTTTTTATGCTTTTTGTTGTTACTAGTAGGAATACGTTAAACAATACATGCAATAAACAGTCATTTTTTGATAATTTATGGAACACTTTAGTAGTACTGCCGGCCGTATATAACAATAACCTTTTACTGAATATAAATATAAAAACTGTGATACATTCTTGGATAACACAAGATGGTTACCCTGTGGTACAAGTAACACCACACAATGACACACAGTTTTTGATAATAAAGGTTATAGACTGTGTAACAGTCACTAAAAAGGAACTGTGTCAACACAAGTGGTGGATACCTGTAACTTACGTAACAATATCAAGAAATAAGC